TTTCGTTGACTCTACCTGGAAGGAATCGGCACTACCTCTTCTTTTTTTTTTTTGGGCGGGAATGCACTAGGTTTTTGATTTTTATGATATCTTTTGGTATTTCACGCTGATCAGATTAGCATGTGATGGCTTAGTAATGGTACCCGATCTTGATCCTGGTTAATCATTCTGGAGGGGAAACGAAATCTGAATCTGACACGAAAAGAATTTGGATCAAGAGGGGAGGCATCAACCAACTGTAACACGTACAGGCTGGGGTACAATCATTCTGTGCCCCATTATGTACGTACGCAATAATTCCAAGAAAAAAAACGTAGAGCGTTCCGCGATTATTGTACTATACATACAAACGACCAGCTGATGCTCGATGACGGGGCGGAGTAATTAAGCCATTACGTGGTCCTCAAACGGACCATCGTCTCCAGGATTACCGTCGAGTGTGTGCCGAATGTCTTCTTTTTATACTCGGATCATTGCCTCATTGAACAGGTTAGCTAAAGTTATACCGGTCGATTAGGCCTAGATGCATGGGGAAAAGTTTAAGTTGGAATCTCTGACTCATGGGCTCATACACACCTTGACACGGTCGGGTCATGCATCCACTGACGGGCTAGGCTTGTGAAACCATGCGACCGGGGACTCATTTTTTGATCGCCATGCCGCGGCAATGCAAATACGTACGTATACCAGAAACTATTTGCCAGTTTACCACATGTGCATCTCCTGCGAGGAAACGTCGGGATAACCACATGCATATAATAGGAAAAGCCTCAATGATCAGCAACCTTATATACGGTAAATTTATTCCAAATGGCGTATCTGTAAATTGGTGCTGAACATGATCACATAAACACTTCTCTGTGGTCAAGAATTCCGTTTGTCTTTGCCGCCGGTAAGCCGGAGGAAAAACGGTTAGCTAGGCCTAAAAATGGTGACCGATCCAAGGAAGTGACGCTTGTACGCGACCAGCTGTGGTCAGACCGATTTACCTGCACATCAGCATACTCCTCGGAAAACCCGGTAGTTTTTGGAAGTTTTCTACATTTCTTGTACCAAGGTTTGACCCGTAAATTTGTACTAGGTTATTTGGACGTATGCCTGGTTCAACGGCATGACCAAGCCAGCATACAACACCGGGAATTCATGGTCATCCTGGATTATGGGATTAGCATCCATCCATGACCCGGTATTACCCTAAATGTGTTGTTCTTTGTTCACTCTTTTTCGTTTCTTTTTAGTCTTCACTGGATTACTAAGGAAGCTAGCTAATTCTACTCAAGTTGCATGGGAAATGGCTACGTGTTATGTTAGGGCTCGGGTATGGACATGCGGAGAACAATAGATGGAAAATCAAAGCAAAAAAACATAAAAACTATATTAAATCTAAAACCTCATGTAGCATCACCTCCATGTAATTTCTGTTACTATATTTGAGGTGTTTCATACTTTCGGTGAACCTTTATAACAGATATGGATCTTCTTTGTAACAAAATAATTTATCACACACTTACAACTAACATAAACTGGCAGTGGTTCACTAATCCCACAACATTTCTACTAGAACACATTGGCATGTGTAACAGTGAAACAGTAAGCCACGCCCCCACAACTTCACTTGCCCAAAGGTGGTTCTCAAACATTCCCTAACAGAAAAATATGTGTTTTTTTTTTTGGAAAAAATCAGAATGACACATAGATTTTTTGCACTTTGCCATTTTATCGACTGGTTGAGTTTGAACGTGCTAACTAACCAAGGTCAGATTAGAACATATGACAAAGATTTCATCTTCTGAGTTGATCGACACGGAGGTTTGACTTGAAACCGCCTTACTTAGAATTTGGACTGAGTATACACTATTTGACATTTAGGATAAGTCATGCATCTAGCCGTGTTCACTTTCAAGCTAGGGCCGAGGCCGAGAGTTAACTTCCATTATGTAAGAAAACTTAAATACAACCCAAATTATTGATAAATTTTGGTTTACTTTTAGCACCTAAACCTAAATGCAGTGTACGAATAGTTTATTCTTCAAGCTGAGCATGCCCGTTGCTAGTTACCAAATAAAGCCCACTGCCAAAATTAGCTAGTTACCATTGCAAAAAAATAAAATGCGGTTACATTGGATTTGGAAAGCATGGTTTTTTTCCAAGTTGATACAGGTTAGCATTGACCCGCAAAAAGAAAACTGGCAAAAAAAAAGATACAAATTATCATTCAAAATGTTAATACAATTACAAATGCATGGTCTTAAATCATTCACCTACAACAAGATTGCAAGATCAAATGTTACATTATGGCACAATCTTAGATAAAAGGTGAATAAAGCATGTCACCATCATTAGTACCCTAGTGGAGCACATCAGTTGTATCCAGTGCAAACACCTAACATGCTTCTTCTTGCGTTAGTCAACGTATAAATGAATCTAGAGGTCTCGTTGCCCTTCCTTCTTGAAACCCTCCGGCACATTGTGTTTGGCCACGCTGGTGCTAATGGATCTCTATTCTCCTCTCCATGGCATCGACACGAGTCCTCATCAAGGGCAACCACGGGCCGCCGATATCGCACGTGCAAGGTCTACGTCAGGGTGACCCCGTTTCACCCGTGCTCTTCGCCTTGGTCATCGACAAGCTTACCTCGATGTTACAGAATGCCACGCATACGGGCATCCTCAAGAGACTCACCCCACGACACACGGCGTCCGATATCTCCATGTTCGCCAACGACATGGTCATTTTCTGCCACCCTGATGCCCATGAGCTAGACACCATCAAGGAGCTCCTCCGGCTGTTCGGAATGCCTCTGGCCTCCGCACCAACTTTCTAAAATGCTCTGCTTCACCAATCCATTGCGACAACGATGATCTCACCATCATCGGGTCCTCTCTTGCCTGCCCAATTGTGGGTTTTCCCATCAAATACCTCGGCTTGCCGCCCTCAATCCGGAAGGCTTCGGCTTCCGCGCTCCTCCCGCTCGTCGATAAGCTTGTGAAGAAGCTCAGAATTTGGAATGCTTGCCTTCTCTTCTGCAGGGAGCACCTTGCCCTTGTCCGCCATGTGCTCACGGCCATGCCAGTCCATATGTTGCTCGCGCTGGCCCTAAACCCCCCGATCCTCAAAAAATTAACAGGCTGATCCGTGACCTCTTATGGCATGACAAGAAAGATGCGCATGCCGCATCATGCTTTGTCTCCTGGCAGAAGGTTTGCTAGCCCTTGGAGCTTGGTGGGCTCGCCGTCCGTGATCTTCACCGCACCGGCGTCGCGTTGCGTACGCGCTGGCTGTGGCTCCAGGCCACTGACCCCGAGCGCGTATGGAAGCACCTCCGCCTTCCTTCTGACCGTGAAGCTTCTGAACTTTTTCGGGCCTCAACAGCGTGGACGCTTGGTGATGGCAACACATGTAGATTCTGGCGCGATCACTGGCTCCAAAGGGCAGTCCATCTCCGAGATCGCGCCAACCCTACTAATCCATATCCTGTGCCAGCGCTAGAATAGGAGACTCATCTGCGAGACCCTCACGGATCATTGCTGGATCGCGGACATCCATGGCAACCTTAACCCCGCGGCAATCCTTGAGTACGTGGAGCTATGGAGGCGTCTTCAGGGGATTACCCTCTCTAGTGAGCCAGACTGGCTTTCTTGGAAATGGACCGCTCACGTCACTTACACTACGAGTGTTGCACGGTCATAAAACCGGAAATAAATTCACTAATCTAACAAGAGATTTCACCAATACTAAAACTGAGTCGGTAAGCTGTGCCTCCACAGTACAACTCCACTGATCAAAAGGTGCTTTTCAAAATGTCACCAGAATATTTTGCACATTCGGCATTTTGTTGCAGCGACATGCTGATTAATCGTGGCCGGCTTGGACGTTTAAGAGGACTTATCTTTGGAGTTGATCTACCTGCTAAACAATACGTAAGATATTTGGAGTAGTACTCATACATGACAATTCGACCCATCTCATACCACCTTACAGTTTGATATAGGCCTCAGTTTTAGTTGTGTGCTTTGCACATTGATGTTTGATGTTAACACTTACTTTCACCCGCAAAAAAAGAGAAGATGTTAACACTTACTTTAGTGTACTGAAAGCTAAATTCTGTTGAACTCCGTGAGCTTTATTTGGTTAACCGAGGTTGGCTTGGAAACCATGGTACTACCAAGATCTTTCTTCTGGTTGACTTAACTTAGCGTTTGAAAAGCTAATGACAATCTCAATGCGTGCTTTTACATCATAGGCTGCAAACAAGATCGTGCCCCATCAAATTTTACAATATGACACAATCGAGATAAAAAGTAAGCAGCTCATCATTAGCACCGTGGTGGAGCTCATGAGTAGTATCCACCGCTATAACACTTAACTCGCCTTCATCTTTTTTGTGTCAATCAGCGCACACGCATCATGCACATTGCGTTAGTGATTTGTTACTATTCACAGTGTGACATAAAGAAAGAAAAAATGACTTAAAGAAAGCAAGCAGTGCGATCCATGCATAATTTGCATAGTTAAAGAAAGAGAAAAGTAGTGTGATACATAAACCGTACGGAAAAAGTTTCATTGCTGATAAAGAGAAGCGTACAAAAAGGAATACGGATTCACGACATTTGTTAAGTACTCCTAATTATAGTATAATAATTAGACAATGGGAACGCCTACAAGTTAGAGGAGCGTCGGAACGCTGTGTGCTCTTTTTAGTCGTAGTATGGCAACAGTAGCCAACCGAACGGAGATCCATTTGAGTATTTGACCCCGAGAGAAAGAGAGAGCCTCCGAGCAGAGCAGAGCACCTTTATAACTCCCAGCTCTCCGTTTCCCTCTCGTCCGCTCCTCCAACCCCACGTACGGTAACGGGTAACCAACCACCCCAGTCCCAGCTCCTCGCTAATCATCATTTTACGCCGCCTGCGCGCGCTCCCGGGCGTCCAGCCGCCTCGCACGGTGCTACGCTGGGCAGCCAGACAGAGAGGGCGGAAGCTCGCGGCGCGGCGGTGGCATGGGGAACGCTCTGGCCGGCAGGCGGCGCGCGGCCAAGGTGATGACGGTGGACGGCGCCACGTTCCGGTACAAGACGCCCGCGGCGGCCGGCGCGGCCCTGCGCGGCCACCCGGGCCACCAGCTGCTCGAGTCCGAGGAGGTGCGGCGGCTGGGCGTCCGCGCCCGCCCGCTCGACCGCGACGCCGCGCTCAAGCCGGGCAAGCTCTACTTCCTCGTGCAGCTCCCGCGCGGAGCCGGCGGGCGCGGCGCCGGCGACGAGGAGGACCTGCGCGGGCCGCACAAGACGTGGTCCGGCGCGCTGCACGTGGGCGCCCGGGAGCGGCTGGAGAGCCTGATGCTGTCGCGCCGCACCGTGTCGGACGTGGCGTCCCTGATGCCCTCCGCCGGCAGGGAGCCGTCTTCGGCGGCGGCGGCCCGGTCGTCGTCCGTGGAGGCCGGCGCGGACGGCGCCGTGCGGCTCCGGATGCGGCTGCCCAAGGCGGAGGTGGCGCGGCTGATGAAGGAGAGCAAGGACCCCGCGGAGGCCGCCGAGCGGATCATGCAGCTCTGCGTCGCCAGGGACCAGGGGGGCGACGCCGCTGTGCCGGCCAAGCCCGCCGCGCTGCCGGTCTCCGCGCTGTGCACCAACAAGACGGCCATGAAGAAAGAGGTGAGCGCCCTCCCACCCCCAACCCCACCCCGGCCATGACCGTGACCTTCCGTGCGCGGGCACGACTTGCCATGTTACATTTCCGTCCAAGCTCGTTGAAACGATAATTTGGCACCATGCGAACCCCCTCCGTGCTCCGGCCCGATTAGGCTTAGCCGACAAGGACGTCCCAATCCCATACGCAAATCACCAGCTCGCCGGCTCTGCTCTGCTCCTCCCGCAACAAACAGCAGGCCGTAATGGGACGACAAGACGAGTAGCAATGCTGCCATGGCTCTGTCCAGATTCCCGTTTTATGAACCGAAAGGGAGTAAGAGAAAGAGTATCACCAACACCAACGGAATGGATTGGATGCGGAGTGGATCTTTCTTTGCCCTGTTTGGGCGGTGAATGATCCGTGGCAACTTGGCGCGCGGCCTTTGCCTTGTTCGGGGAGTGCGGTACGTGTGGGTTTTGCCCGCCCCCACCTTTGGCACGTCCTTTTGACCTCCCACTGCATCACCAGCTCGTGGTACGTGGGCGTTCCACTTCGCTTTGTTGGTTGGTTGCCCGCCCCCGATAAGCTCGGCTCCGTCCTTCACGTGGTGCAGCACTGCCGCTGCGCGCCACAGCTGGTGAAGCTTCTCCTACCCTACTACACCTCCTCTGTCCATTCCATCATTCACCCGGAGAACAGAGCATCTGCATCTCGCTGCCACTCTGCCATCCCTAGCGTAACAGCGCACGACACGTGTCCTGGCGACCACGTGAGCTCGGTGTTAGTGGTAGAAGGGGGCTGCCTTCTGCATGGTTAACTTGGCTCCAACCCTAACTAGTACTCCTAGATTGGAAGGAATCATGGAGGGCCAGGTCAAGTCAATTCCGGGATTAATTGGCAGCGGTAGGTGATGTGATTAGCTAGCGAGCTCAGGCCGCGCGCGCCACGTCAAGCGGGCGGGGACGTGATAGTCGCGCCGTGCATGTGCGGGAAAGATTCTGGGTACAGAGTGGTACTGTGCTGTGACACGGCCACCCAGACGCCCCGTGCTGTAGGTTAGATGACAGGCGAGTACGATTCGGAATGAGCTTGTATAGCTGATCATTGTATAGCTGATCCGAATCGCTCTACGTGTCGCGGTTTCATTGTAGGTGTCTGCTTCCGGCGACATTTTCCTGCAAAATCATGAGCTTGTACTTTGTCCCGTCCCTCGTCTCCACGTCTTGGGCTCTTCGCTCAACTTAACGTACTGCTACTAGTACTGGTAGTTTAGTCCTGATGACCATACCTATTTATTAACTTATAATCGTCGCGTACGAACGTAGGTTGTTAGTGTTCAATTATCGCCAGCCATTGCTTTTGCCTTTTGGTACAGGATCCACAAAGTGAGTTCTTCGTGCTGTATAGTGTGTCTCGCAATCCTTCCCTTTCACGCAAAGGCAAAGCGCCCGAATGTCAAACCCTTGCTAAAAGAAAAGCACCTAGTAGAATCTATGGGGAAAATGAACATGTTTATTCCGAGGCCCCAGAAATCCCTAGTGTAAATTGTATGTGTGTGAATCTCACATCGTCTTGCTCTTTTTGTTGCAGAAGCGGACGAGGTTCATGGCCGTGCCGGACGAGATCATCGGATGACGAAGCGGGACGGGGTGCTTCATGGCATTCTTGTCTCTCTGCTCTGTGCTTTTTTTGGCGGAATTGCTGGGTTTGGAGCGTGAGAAGCTGCCGGGAAATGTTGGCTTCCTATCCTATTTCCCCAGCAAATTCTGGACTAGGAATGGTGTTCATGAAGCAACGACCTTTCTCTTCCTCCCTGCCTTCCTCTTATATATCGTAGCACTAGCATAACGAGAAAGAACTCAAAAAAGAAAAATATCACTGTACTTAGCTAGGTCGTGTAAATATTCCAGCTGCTTAATCTAGTGACTGCGTGGCCATCCGTCGTCTCTGTTAGCCTTTTCTTGCTCTGGGTTTTGTGTCTGTCGCTACCACGATCGATCTTGACCGGTGATCTCCCACGAGATGAACGGGAACGTAGTTTCACGAGCCGTCCGCCGCCTACGACTATGGGGATGTGAACGGGAGCCACGAGGTCGGCTGCGCCCGGCGTTCACCCGGCGCCGTTTTCCGCCGCCGCCGCTGCCGTCGCCTCTGCTTTTTGGTTGATGATCTTAATCTAAAGTGAACCGCGTCCGTCGGCGGTCGGCGTCGCTTCATCGGTGGGCTGCAAATCTTTCGGATAAGAGGATGATTAGCTTGTCGCTTTGTCTGTGTACTTAATCATGTCGTGTAGATGTTCCGCCGCCTAATCGGCGCATGCCTGCCACCGGTCATGCGAACCTGTGTACTCCTCCTTAACAGGGACGTACGTTCATGATTATTATCAGTACTTTCTTTTTAAGCCTACAACACACTACAGGCCTGAGAATGGGAAGCACAATGCCGACTGCATCTGGCGTTTAGCCGGCGCCATTTTGTGCCGCTCGCCGCGGTATCCAAATCTTGTTCGAAGGTGACTGCTGCGTCGCCGTCGATTCATCTGTGGGCGAAAAATATTCCACACAGGAAGAGTGGCTTGTCGCTTTGCCACGCGCAGTGAAATGAACAGAACCAGTGATAACACAGTTCGATAATTCGACTTAGAATGCACAGCGAAAATGAACAGGACCGGTGACAACACAGTTCGATACTTCGACTTTGAATGCACACGGACACAGGGTAGCACTCTGAAATAATACCTGTCTACCAGGCCGAGATGATGTTTTCTATCATATTTACCGCGTGCGGACCTCACTACCCGAAGAGGCTGAGCCCATTAAAACCCCTGAAAATGAAACTTCCGCTCCGCATTGTGTGTCAGTGCACACACCCTTTGGCCCGTCCACTGCTATGAGCTGACATAACTTGCTGCTCGGAAACGTCTTGGTTTTTCCTCGCCGAACCATATGTAAACCAAGTGCAACATTCAGCCCAGACTGCCGAAGGTGGTACAAATATTGGTGTTGACATAAACATCTTTCGATTTAAGTCACAATGGATTCACACGCATCACTCGGAATTCGGAAATCACTACAAGAAGAGCTGCATAGGTTGCTGTGGCTGCACTTTGTTTGTCTTCAATATCTCAACAACTTTTTCATTGGCTGCACAAGCATTTTGCTGGAGATTTTGGAAAGATGAGAAGACGCAGAGGTATTTAAGTGCTCCCACTGTGAAGAAGATATGTGGTCCTTAGGCTCACAAGATTGGGGTGTTTCTACTTTTGTTTAGTCATTTGAAAGAGATGGGAAACCGTCATAGTCATGTACTTGTTGTGTTTGATTGAGCTGTAGATTTTGAAAAATCTGCTGTGAGTTGTGAGTTGTAGGAAAAATGCTGTGAACTTTCATATGTGCAAAAGCTATAAGCTATTTGGTTGAAACAACTATAAAATTATAAATTTGGTCATGAGTTATCAGTAATGACTTTAGGGCCTGAGTGAAAATGTTTATATGCTAATTGACCGTAAAGGACTAATATGTACATTGATAGGCAATTGAACGACCATTTTTAAAGCCAATTTATGATAATGTACATGATTCATGTAACATGGTAGCCGGACCATAATTCCAGTATTTATAGATTACATTCATAGGAATCTAAGAAATAGACAATAGTTCCAAAATTACAATGGAAAGGTGTAAAAAACATAATTACTCCAATTACATTTTATACTTCTCATAAGAGTATCTCATGAAGCAATCGGATAAGATCGTGAATTAGGGTATGGAAAGTAATGAAACTACATTTTCCACCAATAGTTATCAGATTCACTCGAGCAATATAGCATCAAGCAACAACAACGCCTATTTCACTCCCTCTCTTTTTTCTTTCCTTTTTCTCATAATGGAATAATGGATAACATCATTCTATGTCATATTAGAGAATCATCAGATCATTACCGAGATCAGTCTGACACGAAAAATAAATACGAAAGGAAAATATGCATTTGACATATTCTTCAGGCTCCAGCCAAATAACCAGTGAGATAACGCGGTCGACATATCACCACCTAATTGTTCATCATAAGCTATAGATATAATGAAACTAAACAGATCATGAAATAACTAGCAACCAATGTACATTCATATGACAACCATCTTGGTTATGTCGGCAACACCAAAATATCAGACCCGTGCAACCCTTCACATCTTCAGTGCCCATTCTTAATGAAAAATGCTTTAATGACCACCTGCATTTTTTTTGACCAGTAATGACCACGTGCATTAGCCTTGTAGTCTCCCGGAATAGAGCAAAATCAACACTGGAAGCACATATAAGAAATCACCATCACAATATTCTGAACATATACTCTGTACAACAAGTACTCATCCCAAACAACTCCATGATTTTTTTAACAAACACAACATCCTACTAATTTGTACAACGAGAACATGAAGGAGTGGATGAGGGAACAAGGAAGGAAGGACGAGTGCTGGCTACCTCACGCCGTAGCTCTGCTCATCAGCGTTTGTGGTGGGGCAGCTGGGCGGGAGCGGCTGCTCGCCGGAGGGCTTCACTACCTGTCGAGACGAGCAGATCAATGGGGACGGAGGCTAGACCAGCGCGTGTGATGGATGCAAACGGGCAGCTGGGCGCACAACGTCGAAGGGCCACAAGCAGCGGCGGTCGGGCATGGACCCTAGCCGTCTGGGTGGGAAGTGGTGGTTGCTCTGTTTGTTTGGAGAAAATGGGTTGGTGGGTTTTCTTGTGAAAGTGCAACTATCCCTGGGTGGTTTTGGTAATTCCTAACAACATATAGCTCACTTAGCTAATGTTATTTCAAGATAAATATTTCAGGAAAGCTCAATGATTGGCATGGCATGGATGAGAAAAGTGGATCCCTCAAAATGCTAAGGACAAAAGGATTGGCTCAAGCTCAAAGCACAAGACTCTACATTTTCTATTTTATTGATCCAAGATCACATTGTGTCTATAGGAAAAGTCAATACTATCAAGGAGGGATGAGGTGTTGCTTAATGAGTTTCTTGCTCAAAATGCTTAGTGATATGCTCCAAATCCCTCAACTACTTTCTCACATCCACATATGACCTAAACCAAAAGTCAAACACGGCCCCACCGAAACTATCTATCCGGCACCACCGAGTTCAGATGTCATAGCCACAGCCACAAACCCTAGTCTTTTCGGTCTCACCGATAGGGATCTCGGTCTCACCGAGATGGGTTGCAATCTCTTTGTTTCCCTTCGTAATGTTTCGGTCAAACCGAGATGAGCGATCGGTCCCATCGAGATTGCAATGCAAATTTACTGTTTCCTTTTTGTAATGTTTCGGTCTAACCGAGATGAGCGAATCGGTCCCATCGAGTTTGCCTGACCAACCCTCTGTGTGTCCATTACCAAAATCGATCTCGCCAATTTTGTGTAATCGGTCTCATCGAGATTACGTTATGCCCTAACCCTAACCATATTGGTCCCACCGAGATGACATGTCAGTCCCACAAAAATCCTAATGGTCACATTATTTCCTAAATCGGTCCGACCGATTTTCACAATTCGGTCCCACCGAGTTTGGTAAGTTGTGTGTAACGGTTAGATTTTGTGTGGAGGCTATTTATACCCCTCCACCCACTCTTCATTCGTGGAGAAAGCCATCAGAACGTACCTACACTTCCAGCATATATTTTCTAAGAGAGAACCACCCACACTTGTGTTGAGGTCAAGATCTTCCATTCCTACCACATAAATCTTGATCTCTAGCCTTCCCCAAATTGCTTTCTACTCAAATCTTCTTTCCACCAAATCCAAATCCTGTGAGAGAGAGTTGAGTGTTGGGGAGACTATCATTTGAAGCACAAGAGTAAGAAGTTCATCATCAACACACCGTTTGTTACTTCTTGGAGAGTGGTGTCTTCTAGATTGGCTAGGTGTCACTTGGGAGCCTCCGACAAGATTGTGGAGTTGAACCAAGGAGTTCGTACGGGCAAGGAGATTGCCTACTTCGTGAAGATCTACCCCTAGTGAGGCAAGTCCTTCATGGGCGACGGCCATGATGGGATAGATAAGGTTGCTTATTTGTGGACCCTTCGTGGGTGGATCCCTCCGTGGACTCGCGCAACCGTTACCCTTCGTGGGTTTAAGTCTCCATCAACGTGGATGTATGATAGCACCACCTATCGGAACCACGGATAAAAAATCTCCGTGTCAACATTGTGTTTGCCTCCTCAAACTCCTCCCTTTACCTTCATATGAAATTGTCTTACATTCCGCTGCTATACTCTTAGAATTGCATGTGTAGGTTGATTGCTTGACTTGTGCTAAGTTGCTAAAATCTGCCAAGAACTAAAATTGGAAAAAGGCTAGATTTTTATTTGGTCAAGTAGTCTAATCACCCCCCTCTAGACATACTTTCGATCCTACAAGTGGTATCAGAGCTTTGGTCTCCATTTGTTTTGATTTTCATAGATTTTGGTGGTCATAGCCTTGGTTTCACAACCTAGGAGAGTATGGCGTCTAGCGAGGGAAACTACCACCGTAGAGGTCCTTACTTTGATGATACTAATTTTGCCAGTTGGAAGCATAAGATGAAAATGCATATTCTTGAACATAACCCCGCCGTTTGGGCTATTGTGTGTAT